TTAAATTTAAGTATCAAATATTTAATTGATGCTTTAATATCAATATTTAAGAGATAAGTAAAGAATAGAAGTTGTTTACAAACATCTGTGAGTGAATCATTCTTTGATTCAAATGAACCAATTCGAAAATAATCATTAGTGAATCATTCTGCATTTACCAAATTCTCATTTAGTTACTCACAAATGACTAGAAACATCATTGAAAAGTCATAAAAATCATGAATAAAAAAAAGTGGGAATCCTAATATGAATACCACGGTACTTTCCTCAAAAGATCGCTGTACTGTCAGTTTTTTGTAAGGTTACACTTGCGGTATTTACTCTATGGAAACCAAATAGTTCATGCTGTTTTAAACTGTTTTGTGGTTTGTTCTTAATAAATATATCTATTAATTAATCAGGCATTTCTTGAGATCATAAAATTGAGCCTTTTCCCCATTGGTCATGCTCTCTGGGAACAAAAGCCATTAATGGACTCGCCTCATGTGCTTTTCAGAACGGATGTGAGGAAAATTAATTATACAATCAACAGAGCCTACATCTTTATATCCGACCAAACCTGTCCGCACAAGCCATTTTCATTATTTGTTTTGGGCTTTTTAGAAGAACGCATTAGACTGCTTTTATTCCATTGTTATCGGCTCGGCAGCAATTTGTTGTAATCTAACTCCTTTGCATTGGTTTGTGGGGTTTACTCATTCTGATATCTGTGTGGGCACAATACTCGCTTTGCAGATGGTTCCCCTCATCAACACGGCCACAGAGACGTTACTGAGAAACCTGAAGAGCCACGCTGAGTCCGGTAACAGCTTCAACATCCACAAGTACGAGTTTCTTTGAGCATATGTGTGCACATCTGTTTCTCTGATTATTTCAGAGCTCTTAATAATATAAAACATGTTTGCTTTGCAGGTGTTTCGGCTGCTTCACAATGGACGTAATTGCCAGTGTGGCGTTTGGTACGCAGGTGGACTCTCAAAACAATCCCGATGACCCTTTTGTGCACCACGCCTCCAAGTTCTTCGCTTTCACTTTCTTCAAACCCCTCATGATTTTCTTCAGTAGGTTCAACCAACACCACATCCAGAACTCAATGCAGACAGCGTTCATTTCGCTCTCGTTATTGTACAAAGGATATCACAGCTTGGAAAGTGCTTCCGACGGATGATATTACGAAACTGATTTTCATAATGCCGATATTGCGATTAGCATATTTATTATACGAGTAAGAGGAAAAAAGTGCAATTTTCTGACTGTGACGTTTTCCTGGTTTTGCTGTAGTGGCGTTTCCATTTGTGCTTCAGCCTCTTGCTGGTCTGCTTCCCAATAAATCACGAGATGAGATGAACAGCTTCTTTATCCAATGTATTCAGAAGATGATTAAACAGAGAGATGACCTTCCCCCAGAACAGGTATGGCCATGAACGAACAAATTCATTAATCATTCCTCAGTATCGACCACACATGTTCATGATCTGCTTTTCTACAGCGGAGGCGAGACTTCTTGCAGCTGATGCTGGATGTCAGGGCCAGCAGCAAGTATTTGTCTTTGGAGCACTTTGATGTGGTCAATGACGCCGATGAACAGGCTTGCACCGAACAGGGGATGGACAACGGACAGGAAAACGGACCAGGAAACGAGTCCACCAAACGCGCCCAGCAGAAGAGAATGATGACGGAGGATGAGATTGTCGGTCAGTCCTTCATCTTCCTGTTGGCCGGCCACGAGACAAGCAGCAACACGCTAGCATTCGCATGCTACCTGTTAGCGCTCCACCCAGAGTTCCAGAAAAAACTCCAAGAGGAAGTGGATGAATTCTTCAGCAGACATGTGAGTCAGGATTTAAATATTTGGAAAACAACATTTATTTCATTAAAGCAATAAGCCCCAAGAAGCCGTGGTTTACAGTGAATTTATAACAGCTTTATAAATGGGAAGCGGAGTGCCTAAAACCCCCTTAGCGGTTATAAATTCACTGTAAACCACGGCTTCACGGGGCTTATTGCTTTTATAAAACGGTTATATTCCATATACGTAGTAAGGTTTCATAATAAAACAAAGCAAATAAAGAGTAATGATGTTAATAAAAACATACAAACAATGTAGTTCCTCAGAATCAGTTGTGGTTGCAACAAAGCAACGAGCAACACACAAACATAAACAAAGGTGTATGTTTGTAGAGCAATTTACAACAGCTTCGAACGTGGCTCAGAATCAGAATCAAAGACCGGAACTATCTGTTTTATAATCTTATTTTGAGAATGCTTCTTTATTTCATGCTGTGGAATAACTCATTTGTGGAACAACTGACATTCTCTTCAATTTTTTTCTCAAAAGTCCTTTGTCATATGAGTTTTGCTGTGGGTGCCCATAAATGTCGTTATGATTCAGAAAATGCTTTTTTGAAATCTTTTGTCTTTGTTCTCCATCTCTGTGTGATGCATTCTCTGCTCTTAGTGTGTTGGATTGTTGTTTCTCATTAGTTTTGAGGTCTGCATGAACCAGCGCATTTCTCAGAAATCATTTACTGTCAGGACCGTTGATTAAATTTACAGGGCCGGAAACAAGTGTTTTATGGGTGGGCTTCATCTAAGCGGCATAATGGGTAGGTTATATCATATAGCAGTGGTTGTCAAACTGGGGTCCACAAGAAGGTGCTGGGGGTCCGTAAAAAAGTTCAGAGAAAACCGGTGTAAAACTGTACAAAACATTTAATAAGTTAAAACAGATCAAATTTGACAGTTAATTCATTGTATTGGTTTTCATAGTGGTAATGTTGTTGTTTTCAGGTTTGTGCATCTAACAAAACTTTTAATGATAGCTAGAAAAAGATAATATTGTGAAACTATATTTTTGGTCACACTTTATTTTAACGTCCAGTTCTCACTATTAACTGTGACTTTTCCCTCAATCTCCCAATTACTGCTTATTAATGGATAGGAAGGTAGTTATTACGTTTAGGTATTAGGTAGGATTAAGGATGTAGATTTTCATGCAGAATATGTGCTTTATAAGTACTATTAAACAGCCAATATGCTATTAATATGCATGCTAATTAGGGTTAGGGGTTTGTTGAAATCCTTAACACTAAGTATAGTGGTACTTGGTTTAGAAAAGCCCACTAAATAAATAGAAAGACATCCAGATGGGTTACATTGAAACAATTCAGAAAAGCTGCAGCACTGTGCTGGTTATAGAAGGTTTGTATAAGCGCTCGGTTTGCAGTATATCTGCTTGGATAATTTACTCTCCTCTATAAATATAGCGGCGGTTTGCAGTGATGATGGTGGTTCTGCTGATTTGATGTCTTATGTTTGTGCATAATGTGCATACTCATGAGAGAGACAGAGAGGAATTCTTGATTGATTCTCTGAAACCTCGTAATCTGTGCCACAAAGCGCTGGAGAGGCTGGATGGTGATGAGGAGGAGGGTCAGATGTGGCAAGAAGAGCCTCTAAATCAGCGTATGATATTGGGGGGGGGGGGATTCTGGCTCTCTCACGTTGCTTTTTCATGTTTGTTCCACTTATCTCAAGGGATCCCTCTTCCCTACAGTCTGAGATTCTGCCGTCTCAAACAAAACACTTTGCAAGATTCTACATAATACGGTTTTAATGAAATCCGTGAAAATAAAGAGTGTATTAAATGTGTGAACGTGAAATAAACTGCTAGACAGGAGAGTAAAGGAGTGGAGAGAATATACTTAATATTTAGAGGTGTTTGCTAAGACTTATTATTGCTTATACTTAGGGTTTTAGGGATTTAAACAAACCGCTAACCTTAAAGCAGTGATCCTCAAATCTAGCTTGCGAGATCCACTTTCCTGCAGAGTTTAGCTCCAACCCTATAATCATAGCTGTAGCTTAGCATAGATCATTGAATCGGATTAGACCGTTAGCATTTTGCTCAAAAACGACCAAAGAGTTTCGATATTTTTCCTATTTAAAACTTGACTCTTCTGTAGTTACATTGTGTACTAAGACCGACGGAAAATGAAAAGTTGCGATTTTCTAGGCCGATATGGCTAGGAACTATACTCTCATTCCGGCGTAATAATCAAGGAACTTTGCTGCCGTACCATGGGTGCAGCAGGCGCAATGATATTACGCAGTGCCTGAAAATAGGCTTATTGGAAGTTACCTAGCTGGGGACTATTGAATGATAAAATGTGAAACGAGGATCCCATATGAAAGATGTGAAAAATGCAAAGAAAAAAAATCGTTTTTAGTACATCGTTGTGTAAATGTACCCTTAGCGGACTACTACTTTAATAAAATTGCATTTAATTTTAGTTGATGAAAATATTTTTTGTCAGTTTTTGGCAATAGTTTAATGCAGATAACATTGTGTGCCAACAAACAGCACTTCAACATTCTACAGAAAACATTGAAACCCGTTTTCATTTTGGCATCTGTCATATCCATCAGCCACAGTGTTTCCGATTTCATGATGTTTTTTCAGTGCTCTCGTGTCTTTGCTTTCTCTCTGATGGCGTACATTTAAACAGCATCTTCATGAACCTGCATTTCTTGAATCCCGATACCTGCAGCCGCCCACCGGAGAAAGGGATCAAACGCGGCATTAGTTCAGCTCTGTGTCCTTCTGTCTACTCTTTCAGCTCATTCGTTCATTCTTCATCGTTCTCCCCCCTCTGCTTCTCTTTCAATTTAAGCGCTCTCTTTCCACTTCCAATTTCTCCTCTCTGGAAGTCGGGGGCTTTTTCAGAGTGAATGAATGTTCTGCGGAGCTTTTAGGGGGATCGTTTATCTTAAATTCTGTAGATTGTGTAGAGACATGCGTGCCAGCGTATTATGTTAAAGTCAAATGTGTCCTAGGAAAATAGAAAAAATATGAGCGTGTTTTTCTTTATTTTAACACAGATCTGTTAGTCTAAAAAGTGCGGTCTGAGGGATTTCTCACGATAATGCATCATTTATTTGATGGTTTTCTTATGCAACGCATCTGGCAAAGAGCACATCACGCTAACTCATTGTACTTTACATTTTGAGGTTAGCTGACAGGATTCCCGGGATGAAAAATAAACCGGAGAGCTGTTTATAAACCCACTTGCAGTGAAGTTTTCAAATAAAAGAGCTTATGGCAGAAGTTATAAAAGCAGTGAGCATTACAAGCAGCACAATAAAACTCAAGCTCAGCCTTGGCCTTGTCTCATGACGCCTCGCGTCTTAAGTCGACTGTATAGCCGGCAATAACTTTATACTCTCTTTATATCGAGCAGCTGGGGATCCATCCACAAAGACATCTGGCCCGGTGTATAGGCTACTGAAGGTCAGTCTCATCTAGCCCACTGCTATAATGTCTATCAGCGCTCTCGTGTTCAGCCTAGAGAGATAGTGTCTTCGGCTCCTCCTTCAGAGTGGTTTTATTCTCTAAACGCCCCTGCCTCACCGCTCTCAGTTTCGCTCTGAAAAGCTTCTTAAATGTCACTCTCATCACACGCCCTACGTGAGGGCGCTCAAAGTGTTTTGTGCTAAAACGCCGAAGGTGTTTACCTGAGAGCCGCAAACTGTTTCTGATGGGAAATCATATTTAACAAATCTAAAAGTAATTTAAAGCTCATTTAAGATGCAAAACAGGGACAGTTCAGCTGTCCTTAAAGATGGTCCTTAAATCGCATTATAAATCTGTGTGACAGTTTTTCCTGCAGAAATTAAAACTTCTATTCTTTATAAGATCTTAAAAAGAATTGGCATCATGAACCTTTAACATCCATAGAACTTTCCATTGCACAAAAAGTTATTTCAAGTGGGTAAAAAAAGATTCTTCAGATTATTAAAATGTTCTTCACACCAAGAAAAAAAACATTATTTTAAGAACTGTTTAATGAAAGGTTCTTTGGGAAACCCATATGTGACCCTGGACCACAAAACCAGTCTTAAGTGTCAATTTTCACAAAAAAAGCTGAATAAATAAGCTTTCTATTGATGTATGGTTTGTTAGGATAGGACAATATTTGGCCAAGATACAACTATTTGAAAATCTGGAATCTGAGGGTGCAAAAAAATCTAAATATTGAGAAAATCGCCTTTAAAGTTGTCCAAATTAAGTTCTTAGCAATGCATATTACTAATCAAAAATTAAGTTTTGATATATTTACAGTAGGAAATTTACAAAATATCTTCATGGAACATGATCTTTACTTAATATCCTAATGATTTTTGGCATAAAAGAAAAATCAATAATTTTGACCCATGCAATGTATTTTTGGCTATTGCTACAAATATGCCCCAGCGACCTAAGACTGGTTTTGTGGTCCAGGGTCACATATGTAGTTCTTCTATGGCATTGCTGTGAAAACCCCCTTTTGGAACCTTTATTTTTAAGAGTGTTGCTATCAAATATAATTTGAGAGAGAGGGAGAGGTATGAAGGATGGAAGGAAGACGACAAATGCATGTTTTTTCTCTGTCCCTTTACTTTTTCAGGACAAGAGATAAAACTGGGTGAAAACTTGTTTGGGTCATATTTTACCCCAATAAAAAAGAAAAATGGTAAATTACACTACCGTTCAAAAGTTAGTTTTTTTTTCTTTTAAGTAACATTTTTTCAGTGTTTTTCAAATAACTCTCACCAAGGCTGCATTTATTTGATCAAAATTCAATAAAACCCATAATATAAACTATTAAAATGTTAACAGATATAAAAAAGAATATGTTTATTTAAAAATACATTTAAAATAATGTTTCTATTGTAATATATTTTTAAAAAAAATTTTTTGCAGTATTATGCTACTCGTCTTTAGTGTCACATGATCCTTAAGAAATCATTCTAATATGCTGATTTGCTGCTTTGAGAAACATTTATCATTAC